CCGTCATCTCCTCTTTGAAACAGGACTGCATTTACAATGCCGTCCTTTTCATCAACATCTAGGTGGAAAGCTTGAGAGTAGTCAGGTGCATATAAACTACATGCGTGTGACAAAGCTTGTTTGATGTCCACAAAAGCCTTTTCTGCTTGTGTGTTCCACATCAGAGCAGAACCATAGTTCTTGTAATCTGCCTCTGTCATCATGGCAAGGAGAGGTGCCACCAGATTGGTGAAATCAGGTACAAAGGTTTTACTGAAATTAATCAGTCCCAAAAACGTCATCATTTCTCTGACTGTGTTGGGTTTTGAATAACAGAAGATGTCTGTCTTTTGAGCGTCAGCTATGTGTAAGTCTGATGCTGACACCATGCGTCCTAGAAAAGCAACTGTGGGTCTTCCTATCTGCAATTTATCCTTGGAAATTTTAAAGCCTCCCTGAGCCAAGTACATCAACAATGCCTCTGTAGCAGCCATTATGCTTTCTGAGTCAGGAGCAGGTCATCGACATACTGAAGGAGACAAACTCCAGGTTTCAGAACAAGATTTTTCAAGTATTGTCTCAGAATGTGATTAAAGATGGATGGGCTGTCTATGAAGCCCATTGGTAGCCTCTGATAAGTGAGTTTTTGTCTTTTGTACAGGAAAGCAAAAATGTTTTGAGAGTCTCGGTCGAGTGGCACCGAGAAAAAGGCATTTGCAAGATCAATGCATGTGAAAAACTTGTCTTCAGAGCTTATTGATGGGCCCTTTTTGTGGACTTCAGCTTGGCATTCAACACCATCATCCCGGACATGCTCCCCTCCAAACTGACCCAGCTCAGTGTGCCTGCCCCCACCTGTGAGTGGATTACTAGCTTTCTGACAGACAGGAAGCAGCAGGTGAGGCTGGGGAAAACCACATCCAGCACCGAGACAATAAGCACAGGTGCTTCCCAGGGATGTGTGCTCTCCCCTCTGCTGTTTTCACTCTACACCAACGACTGCATCTTGAAGGACCCCTCTGTCAAGCTCCTAAAGTTTGCAGATGACACAACGGTCACTAGTCTCATCCGAGATGATGACAAGTAAGCATATAGAGGGGAGGTGAGGAGGAGGCTGAGCAGCTGGTCCTGTGGTGTAGCCACAACAACCTCAAAACAGTGGGGTTGATCCTGCAGGAAATGTGAAATCTCTGAGATTTTCACTGAGTGCCTGATGGAAATGGCCTGGACTAGAGTGGTAACCCTGGGGGGCTTTTGTCCACTTGTAGCCCTTGCTGTCAAATATGAAAGCAAACCACTACTGGCTGTCAGGATGTACTGAAATGGAACAGAATGTGTTTGCCAAATCAACAATGGAGAAATATGTGGAGCCTGGTGGCACTTCAGACAAAATTGTATGTGGATTTGGATACTGCGGGCGCATGCATGTGTTTGATTTGTTTACTGTGCACAGATCGTGCACAAATCTCCATTCTGTATTGCTGGCCAGCATCTCTGATTTTCTTTACTGGAAAATCTGTGTTCATACTGAGGAGTCATCACAAGGCACAATAGTGGCACTGTCCAGTAAAGAATGAAACACAGGCTTAATGCCATCGATAGCTTCTTTTTTTAATGGATACTGCCTTAAGCAGGGCCTGTGGTCTGATTTTGGGTGCACCACTAAAGGTTTGGCATTTGTCATAAGGCCGACATCATATTTGTGTTTTGCCCATTTGCATTCTGGAATTTCTACCAACTCCTGTGCTGTCAGCGTGTACATGTTTTCTGCCTTTATGTGTGTATGTGTTGAAGTGTGAGCAGCCAGCTGTACTGTGTGGTTCATTATAACAGAGGAAGTGAAAGTGGTGTGGTATACATCACCCTGCAAGCTGTACTCACTTCTGTGGTCCCCTGGGGTAGGATGGAGGTCTGTGCACTGTTTTTCCTGTGTAGCCACTGTGCCAGCTTGATGGTTTTGCAAGTGACACATCTGGTGCCAGTCCTGTGAAGAAAGTAGTTTGCCTGAGAGACAAAGATGAGGACAGCAGTCACATTCTTTGTCCAGTAAATACTACATAATCCCAGTATTTCAATCATCACCTGTCACATGCCATCTGTTTTCAAGTCCTTCATCTGGCCCATCACTCACCTGTACTGTACAAGGTAAGTTTTCTGCCTGTATAAATGTGTCTGTATGTATTACTCTGTGTGTGTGTGTGTGTGTGTGCAAACTCTGTGAGCCAAGCAGTTACAGATGCATTGACACTGGATACCATTTGCCATGTATACACATATAGTTGTGTTTCCTGTGTAAATTCTAGCAAATTGTGTGTCAATGAGTCCTCACCTGAGGATGTACTGTAGGTGGTGTGATGACAGATACTCCTTCTGGTGTGGAAATGAGCAGAAACTACACATCAAATCTCTCCCTAGTAGGTTAACAGGGCACAGAAAGCAGTAAATAAATGAATGTTTCAGATTGACATTCCCCATCTTGCATTTCAACAGAGTGGTGTAAGAATGATGTAGGTGTATTGTTGCAGCCAACAGTGTAACATGTTCTGCTGCTCCATTTGGGTGGAGTGAGCGGAGATCCAACAGATAAAACAGAAGCTGTTGCAACAGCTAGGAATGTCACCTTGTGACCTCCAATCTCTAGTGTAATTTGTGTTAACCTAGCAGGCTTCATGGATTGGTACAAGTCTACACTCAAGACTTCAAACTTGTGTGGGTGTGTGTGTGGTGTAAATGGTTTTAAGCTGTTGCTTCATTGCATAGATGTGCGTGTTTCTGACAATTTAGTTCACTCATAGGCATAAAGCAGTGGCTTTGAATCATAAAGCATCATGTCATGTTATTCTACACTTCACTGCTCTCTGTGTGATAGCATGCAATGGGCACTTTAAATTATTTCTCCTTAGCTTGATTATTGCATTGCATATTTCAGCTGAGTAGTGCAAATCACTAATCTTATTTAGTCATGAGAACTTTCCCAGTTTACAGTGCACGTATAGGTAACTATAAACAAGTTTATCACTTTCAGTGGATGAGCATTTGAAACTAAAAACAGGAGGTTCTGAAAAGATGTCCTGGGTCACACTGAAGTATATTCCAATTTTTTTTTAAATTATATTTGTACTGTATTTTGTCAAGGCAAATACTTTCTTTCTTTACCTGACCTTTATGTTATTTATAAATTTAAATGAGTGAATTACAGTAATTTGCATGTGTAGGACAAGTTCAGAGAAATACATTTGATAACTGATGTACGTGTGTGTTTTACCGTCTGTGTGCTAGATATTGTCTCTGCTCTGCCAACACCAAAGATTTCACAATTATCAACCAGTATTTGCTTTATTTATCTATTTACTTATTTATTTATACTGTTACACACGGTGGGTGTTAACTGTTTCTTGAACACACCCTGCTCATAAATAATCACTGTACACACTGCCCAGCAGGTGGCGGTAATGCACCTTAAGTTGGCTTGCAAACCGCCAATAAACATAATAAGAGGAGGAAGAAGACCTACTCACTAATACTTCATGACTCCTCCCACAGCCTCCGATTTGTTTGGCAACACCGCTGCGACGTTACCTCTTGTATATTCGCAGCTGATAACAGGATATCGGTTTTTATTCCAGGACACCAATCATCGATATTTTTAACTGAGCAAAGACCGGATACCAGTCCCTTTTAATTTTTGACAACACACGGAGCCAACATGGCAACTGTATTCCTCACTTGTCCGGTAATCCTGTGGCTGTCTGTGGCCGCCGTGCTGGGCTCGGTTCTAGGGCTAGGTGAGGACCTTGACCGACCTCTGTTCGGGCCTCCTGGCTCTCCTATCCGGCTGCATGAGTCCGACCTGGGCCTGAAGAAGGCTCTGGAGTTCGCCGAGGAGCGCTACAACCGGGGTTCAAACGCCATGCACCTCCGCAGAGTCAGCCGGTTCATCTCCGCAACCAAACAGGTAATAAAAATAAGCACGACAATTTTTTAACGCTGTGTTTATTTATTGACAACATCTTGTCGTTTATTTTATCACCGTATGAAGAGTCCGGGAACCATTTATCACATTTCATTACGCACTTTGTGTGCCCACTTCTTGGGGTCAGAGGGTGACTCATTTTAAAAATAATGGCATAAACTGGTCACTGCAGCGGGAACATTTAGGTACAAGACTGCAAAAGTACCTACTCAAGAGTACAATTATATTTTCTCCTTTTACGGACATGTCATTAAATTTGTAGTTGGTTTGAGTTTGGCTCATTCTACAGAGCCCACAACAAGGTTAGGCTACAGGCTCATGCCTCATAACATATTCAGTTTTTCTTTCTGACCGGAAGTCATATCATGTACCTGTCCCAGAATGCACCCTGGCTTGACACTTTTAATCAAATTACCTTGCCGAAGTTGCATTGCCATCTATCAGTGCATTATTTTAAGCAATATAAGGCCTGTAACCACTAGAGTATTGATGCAGTATGTCGCATCTGCTCTAACACATATTTACTCTGGCGAAATGACATTCAAGTATAACATATTGTGACCAACAGCATACTAGGCTGCAGCTACATTGGTGTCATGTTTGAGTATGTTTTATATAGGGTACGATTTCTTGGCTTGACTATTGTATGTGTCTGTTTTACAGCTGGTTAAGGGAATCCATTACACTATAACAGTGGAACTGAGTAACACACAGTGTAAGAAAAACGCCAAGCTGAGGACATGTGATTTTTACCCGGAGTCACAGAAACTCAAGGTAGTATGTGTGAGTGAGAGAGAGAGATGAAACAGAATTATATAATATGCCATGGTGGGAATATGATTGAGTATGTTTATCTGTGTATCGATTTATTATTGCAGCGGTGTAGTTCTGTTTGTTCAGCAGAGAAGTCACCAGTCATCTCGATCTTGTGACTTGAATATGACTTGGAGTAACCCTGTGCACCCTCATGTCTCATGCCCACATGTATGCATACACTCAGCTGACACATAGATTTCTTTTTTGTTGTTGTTTCTTTGTTCTTAGACTTAAGAGTGGGACCTTAGTCCAGTTTGGAGAAAACCCTCTAGTTAAATGAAGAAAAACAAACAAATGCTCTAATTTTGTATAAATGTAAATACACATACCAGTCATAAATAACAGACTGTTTAATATTGCTGGCTTGACCTTTAGTGTGTTAAACATGTTATTCCACTTATTCAGTCCATTTCAAACAGTACAAATATATACTGCATATGCCAGTATAGTCATGTTAATACAGTGTTTGTAATGAAAATATCACCGTCCTCTGTTTTTCTTTATGTCAGACGGAGGTGTGTGTGTTCGAAGTGTTGGACATTCCTTGGCAGAGCACTTCAACTCTGCTCAAACAGAAGTGCCAGCCTAAAGGTCAGATCATGTAACAACTCACATCTGTGACCTTTTTTCTTTTGTTTACAAGCGTCCAGTGCCCCATAGCTGCGGCTCACACTGAATGACTTCAGTTCCTGTCCTCTGCACTGATCACGTTTACACTTACCCCAAGTTCTCGAGGGTAACAACACTCACTGCTGACCTGTTGTTTATATGATTTCAGTGTTCTCCAATGATGCTTTGGATGCTTTGCTCTCTCTATAATAGCAGCAATATCTTCCAGGATGACAGTGGCCCATATAATACATTCATGTGCTGGTTAAACCAATAAAGATCATTTTTAATGATCAGTTACTACATGGACTATGCAAACATTCCCTCAATTTGGACTGCATCTTTGGATGTTGAAAAAATTCCATATTGCCATAAAAAGTATATGACCTTAATTCCTCGGTTAATATGTAACACAAATTTTGACTCACCTGGTTGATAAGAGATACTTTATATCAAAGAGACAGAAGAGTTAAAGGTAAACACTGATGAGTCCACATATACATGTTCATTTTATTTTTCCTGTAAATATAAAAAAGAAGCCTATATATAATACCAGTATTTATTTTAGGCTCCTCTCTGCTGTAGCCCCACTTGAGAATCTGTGGAAAGAACTGAAAACTGCTGTTCACAAATGCTCTCCATCCAACCTCACTGAGCTCGAGCTGTTTTGCAAGGAGGCATGGGCAAAAATTTCAGTCTCTCGATGTGCAAAACTGATAGAGACATACCCCAAGCGATTTACAGCTGTAATCGCAGCAAAAGGTGGCGCTACAACGTATTAACTTAAGGGGGTTGAATAATTTTGCACGCCCAATTTTTCAGTTTTTTATTTGTTAAAAAAGTTTGAAATATCCAATAAATTTCGTTCCACTTCATGATTGTGTCCCACTTGTTGTTGATTCTTCACAAAAAATTACAGTTTTATATCTTTATGTTTGAAGCCTGAAATGTGGCAAAAGGTCGCAAAGTTCAAGGGGGCCGAATACTTTCGCAAGGCACTGTATATAATACCAGTATTTATTTTAGGCTCCTCTCTGCTGTAGCCCCACTTTTTGACTTCAGATAAGAATTAATTTCCCAAGCACAGGCAATAGACTAATGTCAAAACTCTTCTAAAGTTTCCATGTATTTGTGTATTTAACTTAAACTATCCAATCAATGCATGTTTGAACACATGAAACGTGAACATAGGTGTTATGTTCATTGACACTATTAACATGTACTGTGTTCCTACACCTCTGTCTGTATCAGTTGGACCTCAGGTAGAAGAGACCAACAAGGTGGAGGCTCCATCCACCAGTCAGCCTCTGCAGGTACAAGTAAATGAAATAAGAATAAAGTTGCATCTTTCTGACACCTTTAATATACTCCAACAATCTACTTATTTTACTGTGTTTGTCTTTATCTGGCAGGAGTCTGTGGAGATTTTGGGCCAGTTTAAAGAGTTCATGGTTAAATACAAAAAGGTTTACAGCAGCCAGGAGGGTGAGTGGTTGACATGAATAGATACCAAATATAGCAGGTGCATAGTGTTTTGCATTCTCCACACCCTGAATGAAAACTACCAACACGTTGGCTACATGTATGTGTCGCTTTATATTCAGGATTGCATGTCCTTTTAAAAACAACTGTAAGAGTGTAATTTAAAATATATACAAAATAGTATAAATATTAAAAATAAAACTATGTACAGTACAGGGTAGTAAAAGAGAGTCTTTTTAAATGTGTGTATTTGACCATTGACCCTGCAGAGGCAGACCGTCGTTTGCGCATCTTCCACGAGAACCTCAAGATTGCAGAGAAGCTCCAGGCTTTGGATCAGGGTTCAGCTGAATATGGAGTCACCAAGTTCAGTGACCTAACTGGTATGTGCACATGTGCTTGTATTTCCAAACGGTTTCAGTTCTTCTGCTTTTCATTGATTGCATCAGCTGTTCTTCAAAAAACATTCTGAAGAAATGCACAAGTTTCACTATTCTCCTTTTGTTTTTCTCCAGACGAAGAGTTTCGCTCTACATACCTGAACCCACTACTGAGTCAATGGACTCTCTATCGACCAATGAAACCAGCCTCTCCAGCCCGAGGTCCCGCCCCTGCCAGCTTTGATTGGCGAGACCATGGCGCCGTCAGTCCCGTTAAGAACCAGGTACCAACAGAGTACAGCAGTCACCTTAAATACCAAGTTGCTCATGAATAAATCACCACCTAGCTACTTTGGGCTGATTGGGCTCTGTGTGTCTACGTGTGTGTTGCAGGGTGAGTGTGGATCCTGCTGGGCATTTTCTGTTACAGGCAACATTGAAGGCCAGTGGTTCCTGAAGAATGGAACATTGCTGTCACTCTCTGCACAAGGTAACAAAGACACATACAGTATACACATGTGCACAGACTCAAACGAACACAGATGATAAAATTGTTTAATATCATTCTCCTGCAGAGAGAAAAAAAATCACTGTTTACAGTTATTGATAAAAGCAATGATTTGATTGGTGTATTGATTCGTCCCTGACAGAGCTGGTTGACTGTGATGATGTGGACTACGCTTGCAACGGAGGATTTCCATCAGTTGCTTACTCCGTTATTGAGAAGCTGGGTGAGAATTAAGGGGTGTTGGACAAGTGATGTGTGAAACCATTTTGAAATATTTTTCTTCCAGTCCAAAGAAATTACAGCTCTTTTTATACATGTCTTGAGTTATGCTGTTAAAGTGAGTAAACCTGTGCATTAAAATATGGGCAAGCTTTAATGCTTTAATTGTCATCCTTCCTGTGTGGTTAAGGTGGTCTGGAAACAGAGACTGACTACTCCTACAGCGGTCACAAGCAGAAGTGTGAATTCACCACCAAAAAAGTGGCTGCCTACATCAACAGCTCGGTGGAACTGCCCAGAGATGAGCAGAGTGAGTGGGCTGAACAAAGAGAGAGGGGCTGAAGAAGAAAGAGCAAGAGAAGGCACTGATAAATACAATGTATGGCTAGAGAAATACCTACTAAAATACACACCAAGAAAAGTCTTTTAAATCTGAAAATGACAAAACAATAATTAGATTTCATAAATAGAAATAACATAAGTCCAATTATTTGACAACGACAAAAGTGGAGATTAATGGGTGCCAGTTCTGCAAGTATATTTATTGAAACTGGAAACATCATGCATGAGTGGTTCAATTTGAAACAAAGGGCTGTCAAATGGTTTGGATTTTCTTTCCCTCAGAAATCGCAGCCTGGCTGGCTGAGAACGGACCGGTCTCTGTTGCTCTGAATGCCTTTGCCATGCAGGTGAGCATCCACCACAGCAATGACTGAATCACTAAAAATTAACATTGCCATCACCTCTGTGCAACATCAAGAGATAATAACAACTAATGTGTCACAATGCATCTTTTCACTAGATTGTAATTACCAGCATATTATTAAATTTAATTCATTTGAATTGTCTATCAAATTCCTGTAGTTCTACAAGAAGGGTGTTTCTCACCCTTGGAAGATCTTCTGCATGCCCTGGATGCTCAATCATGCAGTCCTGATGGTGGGATACGGAGAACGTAAGTGTTTTTGTCTTCTCTTCATTTACCCAGTTCTTACTCAGTGTCAAAAGACAGACACATTTATTTGTGCTGTTTATCAACATAGAAGATGATAATTTTATGACTCATTGTCCAGGATGCACCAATGTGCACTGTATGGATTTTTCTGTGTTTTCAGGCAACGGTATCCCATACTGGGCTATCAAAAACAGCTGGGGTGACAATTATGGTGAGGAGGTAAGACAACAGAATTGTTCAGTCTGTGAAACAAAGTTGAAACATCGCCTGGAAGATGTTGCTGCCCATATGAAGATGTGAGGGTGTGTGTGATTTTAAATCTCTCTCTTTTTATCTGGTGTCATGCAGGGTTACTACTACCTATACAGGGGGTCCAATGCATGTGGGATCAAGGAGATGTGCTTATCTGCTGTAATCAACTAATCCACTATCCTTATATGCAAACATACACAGAGAAACACACATCATCATTCCACAGCTTCCAGGTGACCCCGCCTATACATCGTTCTCACACACACACACATTTGATTCAGAATGCATGAAGATCAAAGTCAGAAACAAAAAGTCCTGCTGATGTTACAGTATTTTCCGTTAAACTAGACTAGCGTTCTTTTCTGTGTACTTCACACCTGGCGTCACTTCTCAGAACATACCAACTCTATTAAAACCATCTTTAAGAGATTTTTAGAGTAGTTTTAAAGTAGATATGAGCCCATTTCATTCTCTTATTCCTGCAGGTCAAAATAACTGTGTTTTAGGCAGAATTGGTTAAGTCATCCCCACAGTGATGGAGGCCATGTTTAAATACGACGTGCACTAATAGTAGTCGGACTCAGTCTTATCAGTTTTCTTGGAAGTTTTGTTACCAGTGTTTGTGCTAATGTTATTGTAGAGAGGTATTTTGAAAGATGAGGGTTTTGCCATATACTTGTCTGCATATTACTACATAAGGTTAATAGAATTGTAATAACTGCTGTAAGACAGTGTGAAATGAATGAATGCCGAATTAAAAAGTGTGGAGTCCTATTTTTGTTTACTGTGTTCTTTTCTTACATATACCAGAACAACAGAAAGTAACTTTATAAACTGAAAAAACATTAGCTTATACAGTGTTTAAAATTACTGATAAATCACAATGAAAACAGACATGCTATTGTAATATCAGAGTGAAAATAAGGAGGGATCGCTTTTTACTTCATAGACATCAATGGTGGAAAGTAAGTAATTATATTTACTCAGGTATTATATTTAAGTACAATTTTGAGATATCTGCACTGAAGAATTTAGATTTTGATTTTGTGCTACTTCACTACATTTTAGAGACAAATGTACTTTTTATGTCAGCTGACGCTGCCCTTGTTCCTGAATCCAAGCGGGTCAGCTGGGACGCTGATGCCGCCTCTGATCCTATTCCAGTTCCTGAGGGGGTCAGCAAGAGAAGGACTTCCTCAGCTCCCTGTTTGGTCCAGAGGTTGTCCACCAGAAAAGCCTATTCAGCTTCCTGTCCAGTTCCGAGCTCGTTTTCCTGGGCGGACTACTCTGCTTCCTGTCTGGTCCTGTGGTCGTCCAGAATTTTCTTGTTATTTTTGCTTACATTGAATTAATTACTCAACAAAGCAGTTCAATTAATTTTCTGTTCAGTTCCCCCACTCTTCATATACAATCTTTCATTGGCTCAAGTACAGGGTAGATGCTAACAGAAGCTACCTTTTTGACAGTAACTTAATGCAACAGAAACAAATGACAGCAAAGGATTTATGTCCATCTACAGGAGTCAATAATGTTTGAATCAAAAAAGATCATAGGGTAATATTCAAAAACTTAATTTAGTCCCTGTTACATACCTCGGTCCATTCCTTTGTTTCATGCACAGTACATGGATTGCTGCATGTGTGTTGCAGACCACCAGCTACTACGTGCATATTTGTGCACTGTGATGTATGAACCTGTGCCTCAGTTTGTATTCTGCTTTGACATTAGAACAACAAATAATTTCTTTTAATGGTATCAGTCTAAATTAATCTACTGCCAAATATAGGAGCTTGTTAATGTTTGAACATATGATTTTAGTGGGGCACAGTAGGTCAATACTAATCTAGCCACAGGGGTTGCAAGCCAGTGACTTCAGCGCCGGTCCCAAGCCCGGATACATAGAGAGGGTTGTGTCAGGAAGGGCGTCCGGCTTAAAAACATGCCAAATTTAAACATGCGAATCACCAGTGTGAACTCCATACTGGATCGGTTGAGGCCCGGGTTAACAACGACCGCCACCAGTGCTGTTGACCTACAGGGTGCTGGTGGAAATTGGACTACTGTCGGTCGAAGAAGGGGAGGAGGTAGAAGGATTCATAGACAGAGAGAGAAGAGGAAAGGCAGGAGTATAGGTCTGAGAATAGGGACTCTTAATGTTGGCACAATGACAGGGAAAAGGTAGAGAGCTGGCGGACATGATGGAGAGAAGGAAGGTAGATATACTGCGTGTGCAAGAGACCAGGTGGAAGGGTAGCAAAGTATGTAGCATTGGAGGGGGATACACACTGTTTTATTATGGTGTGGACAGGAAGAGAAATGGGATAGGAGTGATCCTGAAGCAGGAGCTCGTGAGGAATGTTTTAGAGGTGAAAAGAGTGTCAGGCAGGGCGATCAGTTTGAAGTTGGAAATTGAAGGGGTAATGTTGAATGTAGTCAGTAATTATGCTCCACAAGTAGGGTGTGAGT